TTATTTTATATTAATATAAATTTTATATTTTTATATAATAATTTTTTTACAAATTTCATTAGTAATAAATATATAATATATATATATATATATATATATTACAATAAATTAAAATATAAAATTTATACAAATGTCAATATAAAAAATAAAAAAAATATTTTATATTGTACAATCAAATTTATATGAAGTAAACAACAATTTAAATTGATAATTAATATATATATTATTTCGTAAAGATTTAATAGTCCAATTATAATTAAGAATTTCAATTACCATTATGATAGAATTAAAATACCTAGGAAATTTAAAGCTAGGGAAATTAATAATATATATTCATAATTTTAAATAAATATGTGATTCGTCATAGATAATTTAATAATTATATTAATTTTAAAGCTATCTCGTATATGTATATGCATATATTTTATGCACATATAAAATATGACAATAAGTTATAGTAACTAACAAACAGTTTCATTATGAAATATATAAGATTCAAAACAGACATTATTTATAATTTTAAAAATTAACATTACTAATGCAGTTTCTCCTTTTTTCTTAACAAGTGAATTAAAACATAATAACATGAAACAGTTAAAAAACAATTGATATTTTTTTCAATTTGTATTCAATAAGATTTCAATTGATATATAAATTATTAACTAATCGAACTACGAAAATTAATTGTTATTCAATCAATTTATTTTAAGCATATTATCGTGTCGTAATTTAAGATGTAGTTGCAATCGTATTGAATGAAAAATGGCCGCAAACGTAAAAACAGGTGAGTAGTATGTACAAACCTGTCAATAGTGTTAATCTTTATTTAAAAAATTAATTAATTTGTTTAATTCAAAGAAATATCTATATAATAAAATTAAATAAAAATATCGTAATTTTTTATTTACATATTTGATATCGTAATTAAACATTATTACGTCATATTTTCTATTCACATACGAAATTCAACATATATACTGTGATTTGTTAAATTTTTAATTATCATAACCACCTCTAAATTCGTATCGCATCAAAAGATATTTGACACTTCATAGTGGGCGTATTATTATTGAGACGTAGAAACTGTATTGTTGTGAATACAGGTATTACTTTTATAAATTCCATTTTATATTTGTATCCAATAATTTTATTTGCATGCATAATTGTATAAAAGAGAATATATAATGAGTGTTTGCTCATATGTTATGCTGTAACGGATCTTATCGAAAATCTTTTTAAAATATCACTTCATTTTATGATTTGCTTTCAGAAATGCGAATTCCTACACGTTCTGCTCCTCCTCCACCCATCAATTCAACAGCACAAAGAAACATTAATTGGAATAACACGTAAGTTTAATATTATTTGAATAATAGATTTTTTATATTTCTTTAAAATTTTTAGAAAATATTTTTGTTATACATATATTTTTATATAAATAAACATTTAAATATATATACATATGAATTCTACTTGTCATATTATGTAAAAATTTAAATTTATTATTCATTTCATTTAAAAATTTAATTAATTTTTTTGATCTATATAGAAATAATGTTTTTGGATCTTCAATAATACGACAACCTATTCAAAAGAAAAAACCACCTCCTCGGCCACCACCACCAAAGTTTAATCAAAATTACTCACAAACACAAAGGGAAAAATTTAAAAAATCAGTATGTTGATATCTATTATATAAATGAATACTTTATAATTAATTAATAATTAATCAATATTATTATTAAATTTAATTATTAAATATTTAATATTATTTATTTATATAATTAACAGACAAAACCAACAGAGCTTTTGACTAATTTTTTTGGAAGAAAAAAAAATGAAAACTCAAATATGACACAATTAAATAATCAAGAACAAAATACAGTATTACAATCAGAAAATGGATCAGTTTGTCTAATAGATTTTAGTCCACCTGAATCTCCAACATTTACTATTCGATCAAGTAGTGATGGTGTTAGCATTGATAGTTTTGGCAGTGATGGAAACTCAAATATATCTGCATTTACAAGTAGTGGAAATACATCTCAAACTGAAAGTGCTTTTGAAGATGATTTTGATCTTTTTGGAATATCTACTAAAAAAGCATTGCAAAGTGATCCATGGAAAATTAATTCAGTAATAGATCCATTTGAGCCATTAGAAGTAACTAATCATAATACACTACAATCTATAAAACATGTAGGAGACACATGTTTTTTTGCTTTCAACACAAATAATCATACTAATAATCAAATGATTTACAATCGGACATCTTTCAAAAATACTCAATCGATGCCAACTATAATCCGTGCGAAACCACCAAAACCACCAGCACCAAAAATTCTACAAATAAAAAGAGAACAAAAAATAAATAATATTGAAATAAATTCAAGATGTTTAAATAAAATAGTGTCTTTGGCTAAGCCAATGACATTGGATTTAACTAATTCATGGCAAAATGATTTAAAAGATAGTCCTTCACCACCAATGCCCACAATTCCACCACCTGCACCACCAGTAGAATATTTAACAGAAATAAATAATGATTGTTCAGTAAGTTATTCAATTTATATTATAATTTTATTAAAATAATTTAAATTTTTCTATTTTTTTATTTTTAGATTAATAATGAAGAACCTTATGGAATTGCATTATATGATTTTCCATTAACACATGTGGGTGATTTATCTTTCAAAGAAGGTGATATAATATATTTAATAAAAAAAATTAATGAAGATTGGATGGAAGGTAGAATAGGAAATCAACAAGGAATATTTCCTATTAATTTTATTGATATAAAAATACCAGTGCCTGATGTTCCAGATAACATTGTTATTGCTATTTATCCTTTTAAAGGAGAAACAACTGAAGATTTATCATTCGATGTAAGTTTATCTTGATGTGGACAAGAATGTTCAACATATTATAACATATTATATTATAAAGAAATTTTATAATGAATAATTATTATATATTCACATAAATATTATATATTTAAAAAAATCTACAAATATATAAAAAATAATCAAAATTATTTATATTTTCCTATATGTATAATACATTATATCAATGACAAAAATTACTTGTCTGTATCAAGTTTCTTTCTTTCTCTTTTAAAAATTATCTGAATTTCATATATTATATATATACATATATATAATATTATATATATATTAATATATTAATATGTGTACATATGTGTGTGTGTGTAACAGGAAGGAGAAAAAATTACAGTACTATCGAGGATATCGCAAGATTGGTTATATGGAGAAAGTGGAGATCAAAGAAAAGGTCAATTTCCAGTAAACTACGTAAATAGAGTCCCACGTAATGTTTCATTACATTAATTTGCATGTTGTACTATATTATAAGTATGTCGATAATTTTTCTATTACAATTCTTATTTTTTATACATAAAAAAATATTTTTATGGTATATTAGTAAGATAAAAAATGAAAAATTTACGATTTAGTATTGAAATCATGTTTCAATAATCATAAATGATTAAATATATATATTTCAAGAATTTCTATTTATAAAAAGACTGAATTATATGCAAATATGCATTGCCTTAAAAATTTTAATAAGATATCTTTATCACTTTTTTCAAATTTATTTTTTGAAATTCTAATAATTTTGAAACTTTTACAATTCAAAAAAATAGAATAATATAATTTTTCAACAAAACAACTTTTTTTCTCATTTTTTCTCATTTTTATATCACAAATATCTACTAATATATTCTAAAATTTTCTTTCAAAAATATTATTTTCTAAAAAAAAAAAAAAAATAAGAAACAGAAAATAAAATTTTTTAATAAAATATTTTATTTATTGAAGTATATGCAAATGAAAAAAAATGTGTGTACAAAATTTTCTAATAATCTTATATTTTTTCAATTTTTAAAGTTAAAATATTTTAATATCAAAATTATATCTTCTTTTATGATTTATAATTTATTTATATTATTCTTTATTTAATAGAGAATTGTACTTATTTTATAATCAGTGATTTTATTGACTCAAAAAATTATACAATACATAATATATAAATACATCTAAAAAGAATGATTATATTTTTTTATATTCATTTAAAATATTTTAAATTTATTAAAATTAATACAGAATTACAAAAATATATGAATTACAATTAAATATATTTTAATATTATTGTTATTGTTTTGTTTAACTAACATATTGTTACATATTTTAAAATAACCAAAAATACATATTAATTAAAAAGAGATAAAAAAAGCCTTATAATTAATAAATATTATGTGAATATTATATTTTATATTTAGTGTCATTTAATTTTAGTATATATCAATTCTAATTTGTAATATTTAAAATGTATTTCGATTGGAATTACTGGTATAAAAATAATGATATAATTAATGTACAGTATATAGATATGTAATTTCAAAAATATAAATTTAAATATTTGTTATATTTAAATGTTGCATATGTAAATATTTATATGCTTATTGCAATGAAATATATTTAAAAATTTAATTTGTGCATATTTTAAAAATTAAAAGAAAATTATCTATTATCTATTAAAAATATTTGTGTAAAAGAATGTGTATATATAAGTAAATATTTTTTAACTGCAACATATAATAAATTATTTTAAAATTTATAGAAATATGGAAGAAAATTTCAATTCCAATATTAATAATCAATTTTATTAATTCCATAATCTATATGGGACCAGATGTTTCATTTATAAAAAAACAAAATTAGAATAATTATAATTTTATAGAATAATCTGATTTTTAAACTTATTCACGTATTTCTAAACTTGTTACATGTACACTGATATCAAGTTATATTAATGATCATTTTTAATATGCATATAAAATAAATAAATTAATAAATTAATATTATGTAATTTTATAAATTATAAAAAGTATGTAATAAAATTAGTATAAAATATAAACAAGTGATATAAAATTTATTATAAAATAAACAAAAATGTATAATATCAAAATTATATATTGACATAAAAACTTTGCGATGTTTAATGTTAATAATTTTTATAAATTCTGTTCATAAATATTTTCGATAATAGCGCTATCATTTTTCAGAAAAATAAGGCTAGAGATAGAATATTCATTAAGTTTTAGAAAAGATGGAAAAAATTATAATTTTAAAGTGCTTTACTGTCTGTATAATAATATTTATAATTTTTTATCTGTGAGATAATACAAAAAGAAATTAATTGCAAAATTCCAATGATGTGAAAGCATAAACCACAACACCATTTCAATAATATTTTTTCTTTTAACCTAAAAAATAAGTAATAATTGTAATATATAAAAGCTATCAATTATTATATATATATATATATATATATATCTGTACATATATTTATGTTTATTATAAATTTATACCAATATATATATATTCTGTCTTTTTCTTTATTTCAGTATCAAGAAATTTAATTAATACAACATCCCAATAAAGTTCTAAAGTTTCAACTATACCAAGGGGTAATAGTAACACTAAATAAATAGTTGATACTACAAATAATGTTTTAGAAGTATGATGCATTCTATTTATTTTATATCTGAAATTTTCTAAGAAATGTCATTAAATATATTCGTATCTCTTCAAAAATATATATTCTTTATAAAATATTACATATTTAAATAATTTACTTATGAGTTAACTGACAATGGATTTTTTCAGTTTTTTTCATATGTATAATTAATAAAATATTTCCAATAAATATAAAAAGTACTGGCAACCAAGTAGATAATGCAATAAAAATACATAGCACTACCCCATGGTTTTATTTTTTTTTGACATGGTATAAATTCAAAAACACTATCTGTTTCATAGCCTGAAAATATGATAAAATACAGTAAAATTAACATTTTTATAAATTTAATAATAATTATATAAATACTATAAGTATTAAGAAATACAATAGAACATAAAGTTATAAAGTTTACCTCCTGAATATAACTTTGTTAATGATATTATAAAACTGATACATATCAAAATAATAATAATTATTATTTTAGAACAATTATTATAATGACCATATATTTCAAGAGGAAATATAATAGCAAATACTCGTGTCCATGTGAGAACTACAACCAACCAAGTTGAGGTAAATTGAAAGAATTCCATAGTAACAGAATTTAAGCTTTATAGAAATCTACTGTTCTAAAAATATTATGAATTTAAGTTTCTAGTTACATGTAAGACAAAATTAATTATCTAATTTATGTATATCTACCATAAAAAGATTATTAACAAATATAAAATGTGACTTTGCAATACCCACAGCATAATTAAATATTAATGCTCCATTATCAGATAATGCAAGTGCTTTTAAATAAAGCGACAAGTTTGATTCACAAAGTATAGGTGTATTTAACATTACAAAAGAATAATGTTTAATAATACACCTATAATAATATAATAATAGTATAAAATAATTAATTTATTGTATTACAATAAGCTATATATAAGCTTTATATAACATAAAGAAAAAAATTATCATATAATATAGAAAACTAATTTTCTTTTTTACTTACCAAATATTATAATAAATGGTGTTATGTAGCTAAGTAAAAAACGCACAAATTTAATAAATGGTTGTAATGATAACCAATAAAAACGAACTTCGCAAAGTCATATATACATAAGGCCAACACAATTTCTAAATTGAGTTGTGAAAAATTATAAATAAAATCCAAACTTGTTAATGGTAATGGACATGATAAATTTCCTTTAATATAAGAACTACACAATAGATGTAAATATATAACAATTATTTTTTTTATTAATTGAATTTATTTATAATTTTTATCAAATCTTTTATGTCTTACTTAATTTCATTTACTGGAATTTCAATACATTGAATTGATTGTAATGATATATTTAATATTAATATAAATTGCAGATTTATTTTATTAAATGAAATCATTTGTATATATATATTTGCATCAAAGAGATAAAAAATTATTGTGCAATAATATTTAAAAAATATGTTATGTATATCTAAATAATATAAGAAAATACATATTATACAATTATCATAAAAAAATATGCTTCTATTTAAAATTTATATACCTTTCTCTATCAAATATTTTTTCAATATCATGACTAATATATTGATTATAATATAATTATAATAATATATTATAATATAATTATAATAATATTTTCTCATTAAGAATTGTAAAGGCATCTGTTGTTAATTATCATAACATAGAATTGTTCTTAGTAAATATCATTTCAATGCAAATAAAAGCTTAGATATGTATGTGACTAGAAGCAGATCTATATCTTACTTATGTACATTTATATATTATCTAATAATGAAATATATTTATATAATATATATATTATATATATATATTTTTTATATTTTTATTAAAGTTCTAAAGGAAATTTTTCTTTAATAATAATATTAACTGCAATAAAAAAAATTAATATTATCATAAATATAAAAATAATATTCTAGGAAAAATTAAATACTATAAAATAATATATTTAACATTATAGAATAATAACAAAATTATAATTAAATCTTTTTATAAAAATTAAATATATAATATATAATATAGTATATACTTTAAAAAGTTTGTACATTTTTCTGTTAAATATGTATTTTTTTTTTTTTTTTTAATTTCAAAATATGATCTATCTTTCAAATTAAATTACGGATAACATTAATCAAATATAAAATTAACATTAAATGAATTGTAAAATATAAAGATTTATATTTTAATATATATAAATATAAGTATATGCATTAAATAACTATTAATTCATGAAAATATAGTTTACAATGTATTTTCAATATATAATATATACAATTTACACAATCTAGTGAAAGGCACATAATGAAAATATGATAGCTTGATATTTATTTTCATGAAAATGAAATTTCATTACAATAAATTATGTTTCATATTTTATATATTAAATTTTTTATATTTTCTATATTTTATATTTATTTTAAAAACTATTTCATTAGGTTAATTAAATAAAATTTTATTCTTTTATTATAATTTTCTAGAAATTTCTTTATTACATTTTCACAAAAAACAACTAATACTATAGTAAATACAACAAAAATGATATTACATTTCATTATTCATTTTTCCTATCAAAAATATATCCTTTTTGTTTCATAAATTTTGTATCTGCCCAAGAATATTATATAAATTGACTAAAAATGTCTGATATTCTTTTCTTTATATCAATTTTTTCTATTATATTAATATATAAATAAATTTGTCTACTTCTGAAGAAATATTTTTTTTATAAGAATGTTATTTTTTCAAGTTACTGTAAACTCGTCAGATTCAATGCAAAACAATTGCAACTTCTCTCTTTAAAATAAAAATCTCTTGATAATTTTTTCATTTTAGAACTCTAGATTTCTTAAAATTACTAATTATCTGTGATGTCTTATTTTTTAAATATAAGTTTTTTAATCACATTCATAAAAATATGCAATTTATCAATAAAAAAATACAATTCAAAAAATTAACTATGCATTTCATTAATATTCCAATAATATGTAAATCAAATAAAAATGCAATTTTTAATTTTTGTTGATGTATTAAATGCATCACATCAACTTATGAAAAAATAAATTCATGTCTCTTAATTATTTCTAGAACCTTGGAATTTATTCTATATAATCATTTAATTTAAATTTTATTCACTAATATTATTTTCATAATCAAATAAGTATTTAAGTGATTTAAATGACATTTGACATGTCAAATATATCAAATAATATAAAAAATAAAAATAATTTCATTTTTAAATGCTAGACCAAAATAATAAGAGGAAAAAAAAGAAAAAATAATTAAAATAGTTATTATCCAAAGTTCTAGTGTTAATAAACAATTTACATTTCCAAATTTTTGTTTATCAAAATACAATTTTTAAAACATTTATATTTATATACTTAACAATGTTAAAAAGTACTTGCATTACTTAAATTAATTTCGAGAAAAAGAATGAACAACCATTGATAATTATAAATATATAAATTATTAATAGACAGCATAAACGCACATTGATTCTTAATTAATAATTTTATATAATATTATTATAATTATATTTTTTATAAGACAGAAAAAATCAAATATTTTTTACATTTATGGTTCCATTGCACAGTACATTTCAAATAAAGTATCAACAATTCATATAATTTAGAATGAAATATTACAAATTAAATTTGTAATATTTTGATTATTAGAATTATTATTTTAATTATTTTATTTAATTTTTACTTATTTTTATTATTAGTAAAAATGTTTTTCTTATGTTCTCAAACTGATATTTATATAAATTATTGTGTAGATTTTAAAAAAAATTGTTAATAATTTTGCAAATTAAGTACATGCCTTAGAATGACAGAAAGATATTTATTATAAGTTTATATAAAAGCTCAGATATTGAGAAATTTGTAGAATATATATTTGAAATGAAAACTAGTCTTATGTTCTCAATCACAGCCACTAAATAAAAAAAATATATTTTTTATGTTTTTCATAGTTTTAAGAAATAATTTATAATGTATTTTTCTATATTTTATTATAGTTATTTTCATGTATTAATATAAATTTTCTTAGAAAGAAAAAATTTGTTTATAAAGAAATGTCTGTGCAGAACCATTTAATGTGGTATAAAAACACAATAAAAAAATTAATTACTAAAATTTTAAAAAAATATTGTGATAAATTTATTATTTAACGATAATTTTTTACTTAATATTTATATATTACATAACAATTGTACTTTTCTTTTTTTTTAATCTTTCTTTAAATTTTTTTTTAACTTCTTTTTTTAAGTTCTTTTTAAAAATTGCTATGACTAATCAAAAAAATTAGTTCTTTCTTTTTTTTATAATAAGAAAATAGTTTACCCATAGATCAAAACAACATATATTTTAATTGAAAATAATATCATTATCTTTTGATAGCAATTATATTTTTGCTATCTTAAATTTATGTCAAAAAGTAAAACATATTTGTATGTATTATATTTTCTAATATCACCTTGGTAAGAAATCAACCTATAAATAAAGTAAGTGCTTATATTGCATATATAAATAAATGGATATCTGTAGATTTTGCACTTTGTAATTATATGAGAACTTTTTGATAGTTATTATTCTCAAATCACAAATATTTTAAAATCCATTCGTTGTACTGTATCAGATTAATTTCTTACCTGAAAGCTTAATACCTAATTGAAGTAGGTTTTAAGAAATTATTAATAAAAGGACAAAAATATGTTTTAATGACTAGTAAACTAAATATTAAGCAGTACTTTTTAAATATTCATTATCCCGTTTTTTGGTTTTTTCTGTGCAAACTCATAACTATTTGTTGATATTTTTTTTATAAATAATTCAAAATTAAAAACAAAGTTATGTCTTTTATAAAAAATGAATACATAAGTTGTTGTCATTTTATACTTGGTAAAATAAATTTTATAAGACTATCATAACTGTTCCGCATTTATATCTCATTATTGTACTGTGCAATCCTACGTATAATATTTACAAAAATAAGCATCCCATAAATGTCATTTTTAGTGACATTTTACATTTTCTTATTTTAAAATTAAGCCAGAAGCTATTGGCTTTTCATATCTTAGAGTTTGCACTAATTTTTTATGTGCATAGATCATATGAGAATCCAGATCTTTTCTTTAATCAGGTTTGTATATGGGTATTTTTGGAATAAATTCAATTAAAAGAACCTGGAATATAAAAGATGAAAACAAATAAGTGTATGCTTATATCTAAACAAAAATCAATGCTTAAGAATAGATAATGTAATTAAAAATATAAGCTGATTCACATTAACAAGGCTTCTCTTAACTATACATAATTAGAAAGATAAAAAAAATAAATAAAATATAACAGAAATTATTTTATCAGAATAATTTTGATATATGTATAAAATAGAATTAAGTTTTAAAATAAAATAAATAAAAATATAAAAAATTCAATTTATGTTTACTTACATATTCCATCATGGATGAACTATCACATCTCTGTTTTGCCAATCTCCAATGTAACCCAAGTTTATGATATAATCTACTATTTTCCCATTCTAATAATTTATTTAATGAATGTTGTGTCTATAAAAAATAAAGTAAAAATTGTTTGTGTTATCAGACATTTAATTTTACATCATGTAAATTTATATATAAAAAATAATTATATATAAGATAATAAATATATCTTCATAAAGATTAATATTTACCCTTTTACTCAAACAAATAACTGGCCAAAGAGAACAACCTAATGTACAGCAACAGCAAACGCAACCACAAAATAACCATTTAACATTAACTGGTAATGTTTTTTTTAATACACTGTTTATTCTCATAACAGTTGCTTTAAATTCTTCTGGAGCAACACGTGACACTAAACCATTTGGAAATTCTGATTCAAAACGATTACTAAGTCCAAATCTAAAATAAATAATTACAATTTTAATATGTTAAATAAAAATATATTTTCTAATTTATAAGTATATATTGATTTATTTATTATATACAAGTTATAAATATAAAAAGTAATTTTAAAATTATTTCATTTGTGATTTTTTTTATAGAAATAAATTAAAAATTAAAAAAATATAACATCAATTCATATATTTCAAAAAACTTTGTATTATGTATTAATATTTTATATATTCTATATTTTTTTAATGTAAAAGAAAAATAATTAAAAATAACAAAAAATAACAGTATAAAAATAGTATTTATAATCCGATTCTTTGTTCGTGAAATAAAATACTAAATTTACATATATATAAAAAAGAATAACTTGCTTACACGGTCATATTGCCAGCTCCACGAATAATTATAGGATCTGGAACCATTGTCACGTAATGTTCTTCTAAATTTTGTTCATTTTCTTCTTCTTCTTCATATATTGCATCGAAATCTGCCATTGTGTAATAATATTCAACGGTTCCCGCTCAACGAATAACAACTATATTGTCGTAACTAAACGACTTTTATTCTAATGAAATGCAGTCTCTTTTCATTTATATTTAAGAATTGCAACGTACATTGACTTTAAGTGTTATGCATAAACATTTTTGCGGCCATCAATAATAGGCCAAATAGCAAACTTTCAGTTGAAAGTTATTTGCAATAACACCATTCACAACACAACACACGACGCGCACTGCAGATGCTCACAGCTCACAGCTCATCAATTTTTCATTCAATGCGATTTCAGGTTCACCAACTTTATAATTTATGAAAGTTTGAATTCTAGAAATTAAATATATTTAACGTCATTTTATATAACCAAAATTCAGAGTACCAGTGTATATAATAGTTTTATAAAATTCATTTTTTATAATAATAAATTTTTTTTCTATTTATTTTTTTATTTACAATAATAAGATCTTAGAAATAATAAACTATTATTAAAATATTATCTAATTTATCCGTTTAATATCTAACATTCAATTAATATTTATAAGTTTTTAATAATATTAAAATGAAAATTTCAATTTATTTTTCAAAATTTATATTTTCAATTATAATTATAATAATTATAAAAGTTAAAACATAAAGAAATATTAAATTTATTAAAAAATTACATTTTTTTTTAATATTAATCTTAAATAAAAGTATTAAATTTTATTTCACAATATTCACAATATTTTTTTTCTGCTATTTAGATTTACTGATATCTGAATTTTGAATATTCAAAATAGCTATTAAATCCTAATTTATTCCTCACTTAATTTAAATTAAAATATTCAAAAATATATATTCAAATAAAAGTCGGATACTTATTTAACTTCCAAGTATACAAATATTAATTTTTTATTATTTTTATATATAAAAATTGTTTTTAATTCGAATTCAATTTTAATAGTAAGAATTCTACATTTCATGTTATTATATGTGTCTAGAATCTTATTTTAAAATACAATATATTTTATTCTTTAAATATTAAATTTTTTTTTATTTATTTATTATATATTATAATTGTTTATAATTTGATAAATTATATTTAATCTTGTTCTATGATAAGATCTGACATGTCAGAAGAAGAATTTATTTTTAATGTTTTTTCGTTTGCTAAATGTAATAGAGATACAAAAGAAATTGGGAAACTTAGAGCATCGATATTAGTTTTAGTTAATATATTTGGTAATCTCTTATAAATTTCACTGAAGAATTTACTATCATTCATTTTATTATTATTATCTTGTTGCATTGCTTTTTTAGTTATTGTTTCTTTAATATTCTTATCTGTATTACATTTTAAACATTCCCAAATAGAATATTTTAATTGTTTCATATCAATTCTTTTTGGATGTATACAATATGCAATAGATACTTTATTTGTAAGTTTTGGTGCAGCAACTAGATTGTTTCCAGTAAAAGGCATCTGTGTTTCTGATATACACTCATCTTGACATTGCATATCATTATTAATCGTGTTATTTTTATTTTCTTGATATTCCTGATTATTAGAACAATAATTTAATGTATCATTTTCATTTATATGATTATAATTTTCCATGTCATTAATTAAAGAAGTAGTAGTATTGATATCATTTATATTTTCTAAATTTTTAAATATTGTTGTATGAAGATACAATTTACTAGCTTGTTTGATGTTATAATGTTTATCAGGAGGTAAAGTTAATATTTCTTCATTCCATTCGATTTTAGCAGTTCTAGCATGTAGTTTAATTGATTGACTTGGTAAAAATTTAACACATACTCTTTCAATTGTTTCATCATCATAACATAATTCTATTTCTTATTTTTTTTTTTATTTTAGATTGATAATGTTGAGTTTCTGTATTATTACTAAATAGAGTTTTTTTAAAATTTGTTACTTTCCAATGAGATGGACCAGCCCAATGTATATTTAAATTCGTTTGAATAAATGAATATTCTGAATCTTTTAATGATATTGTCTTGGTTAAAACTTCACGAAAATCTACAATATTTTCTACTTGGTTAGATATCATAACACATCTATCTATATGTTCTTCTTCTGTAACTTCAATATCAAAATAATTCATACCAGTAGATATACATTCATCTTCATTGGATAAACTTGCATTAAGATCAAATTGAAATCTATTCTCATTATTTTGTTCTGGTTGAATTTTTTCTAATTCATCATCTGCATTCCAACTATGAAAATCAAAATAAAATAAAGGAGGACAAATTTCCATATGTGAAAAATTTGCTATTTTTGGAATATCATATACTGTATTTTTATCCTGAATATCTTTATTATTTACTGTGTCTATTAAAATATCATTATATGAGTGTGGATAAAACTTTGAATTTGCATGATTTGGTAACATTACTTGATATAACATATCTGTGGTTTGTAAATCTGCTTCTATTGTTATTAATGAAGGTTTTTCAGTTTCAACATTCATTTTTAAAGTATCTATAGTAGCAAATATTTTTTGTTTATTTTTTTTTTTTTTTTTCTTTGTTTTTGTCTATCAAGGTTATTTTCTTTTACTTCCTGAGAATTCATTTTCTCCATATTATTTTCATTATATTTGTTTTGTTTATCTACTCCAGCAATCATTTTAAGTATATCCATATGTACACCATCCACACGAAATCCATAAATTTTAGTGCTTACATCTAAAGATGTAGTAGCTACTTGCAAATTAGACATATTTGCATCCTTTTTCTTAATCATATATGTCATAAAATCAATCATTTCTAAACTGAATGCATTTTTTGGATTAATTTTATTTTCTGTACCAAGCTTTATGCATTGAGATATACGTTCTGCCATTTGAGAAGGTGGCATATTTACTAGAAAACTAAGTCCTAAAGAACGTCTTTTATCACTTGAATTTGTAGAAATTGTCGTTGTTGAAGTATCAGTAATTTCTCTACGACGGGCCAAACGTTCTGCTTCATCATCATTTTCTGATAAAGCAAAATTGTTTAATTTTTGTGGAAGTATAGATTTTCGCCTTAATGGAGATGAAGAAGCTGGAGAGGAATGTATAGTAGAATCTATTAATCTTTTTGACATACTCTTTGTTTTTGTCTATCAAGGTTATTTTCTTTTACTTCCTGAGAATTCATTTTCTCCATATTATTTTCATTATATTTGTTTTGTTTATCTACTCCAGCAATCATTTTAAGTATATCCATATGTACACCATCCACACGAAATCCATAAATTTTAGTGCTTACATCTAAAGATGTAGTAGCTACTTGCAAATTAGACATATTTGCATCCTTTTTCTTAATCATATATGTCATAAAATCAATCATTTCTAAACTGAATGCATTTTTTGGATTAATTTTATTTTCTGTACCAAGCTTTATGCATTGAGATATACGTTCTGCCATTTGAGAAGGTGGCATATTTACTAGAAAACTAAGTCCTAAAGAACGTCTTTTATCACTTGAATTTGTAGAAATTGTCGTTGTTGAAGTATCAGTAATTTCTCTACGACGGGCCAAACGTTCTGCTTCATCATCATTTTCTGATAAAGCAAAATTGTTTAATTTTTGTGGAAGTATAGATTTTCGCCTTAATGGAGATGAAGAAGCTGGAGAGGAATGTATAGTAGAATCTATTAATCTTTTTGACATACTCTTACGAGTTGCCATTTTACTGCTTAAAATTTTATACCAAACTAAGATTCTGTTATGTATATTCCTAGAATATATATATAATAATTTAAAATTAAAATTTATATATTATGTTGAATATTACAATTATAATATTATGTATATTTGAAAAAAATTAATTATAATTAATAATAATTAATCAATATTATATATAATTTAATTATTAATTTTTTAAATTATTAGAAAAACATATGAGTATAAATATTTAAATAATTTATAAAATTATATAAAATAAATATTTATTTATACATTACCTTTAATATATATGTAATTAATAAATTCGTATTTTTTAATTGTTAATGATTAAAAAAAACAACATTAAGTAAATATTAAATGTATGCTGTAAAAGAATGTCTTATCATTAAGGCTATTAATATTATATATTAAATAGTAATACAATTCAAATATATTTAAACAAATATATCTTTTGAAAACAAACAAAATAACTTAATGATTTCCACCATATAAATTAATAATGATATTTCATTCAATTTAATAACAATGTAATGTTTAATTACATTTCACAAACTTCGTTTGTAATGCATTCAAAATATAATATTAAATCTCTGTTTTTTACATCGATACTGACTACATAAAATAAGATTAAATTTCAAAATCTGAAATTTGAAATAACATAAATGTTTAATCACTTATTATACATATATAAAAATAATAATAAAAGCTTTGAAAAATATATCTACGTTATCAAATACATTTCTTTGTCATTTCTCATACATAATTTTAATGAAATTGGCGCGAAAGAATAATCGCAAATAGCGATCACAAAATTATCAAATTTAAACGTATTTATTTCATGAAGTATTTGTTTGTAGATTGTCGAATGCATTTTCTATGTAGAAACATCTTTCATTACAAAAATTATTTTTAAAGATCAACATTAATTCCTTTATAATATTTTTGAGTACACAGCATAATTTCTAGTTATTTCATGAAAATTAATAATTTAATCGAAATAAGTGTTATTTATAATATATGTTAATAAGAACGTTAAATAATACACGTGAACATTTTCTAACAGATATATTATATATACTATCATTAAACAATTGTTTTCGTTCCTAAAATAAAAACTATGATGTAATTATATGAATTTAACTATTAAATCCATAAGTTAAAATACCATGGAGGTTTTGTTATTAAAATCCATGCTGTTTGCTTGTCAATGGTCAGTAATAGTTATTAAATCATAAAATGGTAAGATTAAATGAGTTTTTTAATCGAAACATTTTGAATATTTTAATATTATTTTGCTATTTTAATATAAATATAATATAAATATATATTTTAAATAAATATATATTTATTTTAAATCATTACTTATTGCATTTTTAGAAATGAATGTGATAATTTAATATAGTGTGATAATTTGTAATTATAAAAAATTAATAATTATAAAAAAATATAGTCTAAAATCATATTAAAATATAAAAAAATTGTTCAGTCTTTATTTATATATATATGGTAATTTCATATTCACATTATGTACTATGTATTATTAAGTAATTTAATAAATTAATTATAAAATATTTTTGTTATAATATCAATATTCTCAATATTAATATTTCAATATTATTATAGGGTGCAAATATATCACAATTAGAGAGAGATATTGGCTCTGATCAATTTCCTCCCAATGAACATTATTTTGGATTAGTTAATGTAAGTATTAATTGCAAAAATATATAAATATAACAATAATAATTGATAAATTAGATTATATCTTTATTTTTATTATTATAAATGTTAATATTAATAATTATATTATTATAGTTTGGAAATACCTGTTATAGCAATTCTGTATTACAAGCTTTGTATTTTTGTCGACCATTTAGAGAAAAAGTTTTAGAGTACAAAGCTAGAAATAAGAGAACCAAGGAAACATTATTAACATGCTTAGCTGATTTGTTCTATAGTATTGCAACTCAAAAAAAGAAAGTTGGATCTATAGCTCCAAAAAAGTTTATTGCCAGATTAAGGAAAGAAAAAGGTTAATATAAACATATATTACTAATTTAAAATTAATTTTATTATTAGAATGCAATTATTTATGTAATAGAATATGTAATATATATATATATCATTTTTTACAGAGGAATTTGATAATTACATGCAACAAGATGCACATGAATTTTTAAACTTTTTAATAAATCATATAAATGAAATTATTTTAGGTATGCAAATTTTATTGAATATACATATATAATTACATGCGCACGCATGCACACACAAATAAAATATATCCTTGTAAAATATTCTTGTAAAAATAATTTTATATTTTAGCAGAGAGAAGTCAAAGTAAACCAGCAGGAGGAAAATGTGGTGCAGGTGATGCTGGTTCACCACCAGAACCTACATGGGTTCATGAAATATTTCAAGGAATTCTGACATCAGAAACACGTTGCCTTAATTGTGAGACTGTATCTAGCAAAGATGAGGATTTTTTTGATTTACAAGTTGATGTAGATCAAAATACTTCAATCACACACTGCCTCAGATGTTTTTCAAATACTGAGACACTTTGTAGTGATAACAAATTCAAATGTGATCATTGTAGTAGTTATCAAGAAGCTCAGGTACTTTTATAAAAAAATTTTACAGTTATTAAAAAAGAATTTTTTTAACTGATTAATAATTTGAATAAATTCTTTATTCTAGAAACGAATGAGAGTTAAAAAATTACCAATGATATTAGCATTGCATTTAAAGAGATTTAAATATGTGGAACAATATAATCGTCACATCAAGGTTTCTCATAGAGTAGTTTTTCCTTTAGAACTTCGGTTATTCAATACTGTAAGTATTTATATATTAATTTTTGTTTTAGGTTTTAATATTTAATATTAATATAATTAATTTATAATTAATATCTATGCAGTGATTTTTATATAATTTATAGAGTGATGATGCAGTGAATCCAGATAGATTATATGATTTGGTAGCAGTTGTAATACATTGTGGAAGTGGGCCTAATCGAGGACATTATATTTCCATAGTTAAAAGCCATGGATTTTGGTTGCTTTTTGATGATGACATGGTTGATGTAAGCCTTATAATTTATGTCATTAATATTTATTTTAAAATTAGAATTATCTGTATATCTTTGTATAAAAAAATATATAAACTAAATTTTTATTTTAGAAAATTGATGCATCTACAATAGAAGACTTTTATGGACTTACGTCCGATATTCAGAAAAGTTCTGAAACTGGCTATATCTTATTCTATCAATCAATAGATTGTAATTAGAACTTAATATAAATATATAGTAATTAAAATAAATAAATTCTATATGGTAATTTCGTATCTTATTGAAATATAGTGTATAAAAATTAAAATTATATATTAGATTATTTATAAAAATAAAATATAATTAATTATGTATATCTGATTTGTAAAATATAGAAAAAATTAGTTTCATGAAGTATTTATTCGTAGTACCTTACGGAAAATTATTTCTTATTCATATTTATATTAAAATAAATTGATTGAGTTATGTAAAAATTATTCATTTTAAATTCAATAAAAATATAATTTATAAAATATCTTTTACTCTAATTAGAAATAATAGCAAATTCTACATATATAAATAGAAAATATATTTTCTATATATATATATATATGTATATATATATATATATATATTATATATTCTATATAAAATATTATTTATATATAATATAGATTATTTTAATTATTATATTTTCAAAATTATATTCAAAACTTATAGAAAATGTGCAGTATGCTTTCAAAAAATAACATTAATTTTTTCATAACATATTTATTTAAGTTTTAAGCAATAAATTCATAAGGTATAGGTGCAAGTGAAATAGGATTTTCACGTCCTGATACAATATGTGCAGGCATTGGTTCAGCAGGCTGTCTTTTCAACTGTACTTTAATGTTTTTTTCCTTTGCTTCTTTTCTGAGTCTTTCATTTTCTTTTACTCGTTTCAAAAAATCTTCTCTACATTTAGAATGAGTCAAATGTTCAATACGAACATTTATTCTTTTTGCAATAATTCGTCCACGTACTCTTTTATTAACAATGACACCAAGAGCATGGGGAGTTACATTGAATACACGTCCAGTTTTTCCATGATAAACTTTATAAGGCATTCCCTTTTGCACTGCTCCATTACCTTTGATATCAACTATATCACCTACTTTATATACTTTCATATACGTGGATAATGGAATTGTTCCATGTTTACGGAATTTTCGGGAAAATAAATCCCTTGTTCCACGACGATATCCCTTTGAATTCGTCATATTAACTTCTTAATTATTCTGTCTGTAATATAATTCAATTAAACTTAATTATAATTCTTGTAAAGATACTTTTGATTAAAATTATATCTTAATAAAATAAAAATATGTTTATGTATAAAGTTATGTAATTATACGATTAGTATTAAATTTTAACAAATTTAATGATTAATTAAAATATTTTCATTAAAATTTGAAATATATTTCGTTAACATATGCGCAAATATTGTCACGTGCGTTCTGTTGTAAAAATAATTCAGGATAAAATTTTTTTTTTAAGAAAAAAAAATTTGAATATAACAAATATAATTTTTATAAATTTTGATAGTATAAAAAAATAAAATGCCAAATTAAATATAATTAAAAAATTTTGTATAATATTACCAAATTTACAATAGGCAAGCGTAACCACTCACGTCTATGAAGAAGAGAATTTAAGATCGGTAAATAACAGTTATATTAAAATCGATAATAATCGATATTTAGGTACATCGATTTTTGATTATATAAATTTTTTTTATTATAATTATTAAATATTATATAATATTTAAATATATTAATAAACATTTTATAAATTTTTCTTAATTTATTTTAAAAAATAAACATTAATACTACTAAAATTTTTTAGATAAAATAAACTATAATATGAAGGAAGTTTCCTCTCTAACATTTATTCAATCATAATACCGCTGCATGACAGTTGTTTTCTGAAAATTCATATTAGTGATAAATATTTTGCAATTTTACATTACATGTTAACTAAATTAATAATTTAAATAATAAATAATATTTTATATTATATTATAATTATATAATATTCAAAAATGGTTTGTATTTTATATAATTTTTTATGATTAAATATAATAATAAAATATATTACTTTATTATTATAATATTTACAAAAAATTTATAAAATATAACTATTTTATAAAATAAAGTTAATTATAAAATAAATTTATAAAATAATAATAATATGTATTATAAAATATATGATATATGTTAATATATTTTTTTACTTTAAAAATATATTATATTATTATAATTAATAGATTATTTAACTTATTAACTTATTATTTAATTATTTAATTTAAGAAATTTATTATTGATTATAAATTATTTTATATATTTTTCAGTTTCGTAATCAATATGACAGTGATGTTACAGTTTGGAGTCCACAAGGACGTTTACATCAAGTAGAATATGCAATGGAAGCTGTAAAATTAGGATCAGCCACTGTAGGACTTAAAAATAAGACTCATGCAGTCCTTATTGCACTCAAAAGAGCTTCTTCAGAATTATCTGCTCATCAGAAAAAAATTTTTCCTATAGATAAACATATGGGAATTTCTATTTCAGGTTTAACAGCTGATGCTAGAATGTTAAGGTATATTGTATATTGACAATGACAAAATATTGATTTTTTTATATTAATCTTGTTAAAAATACAGTTATTGCAAAATCTTTAATAAATTATAATTAAAAATTTTATTTATTTATCTATAGCCGATATATGAGAACTGAATGTTTAAATTATAAATATTCTCATGATGATCTATTACCTGTGAGTCGTTTACTTGCATCTTTGGGAAATAAATTACAAACATGTACTCAAAGATATGATAGAAGACCATATGGCGTAGGTTTACTTATTGCTGGATATGATGTAAGTAGTTATGAAATATTAAATATTATTTATTGAAGAATAAACTAAAATATTAAATATAATTAAATATTATTATTTAAATATAATATTATAATATTATATAAAAATAAATATAATATAATATTTATATATTAAATATTATTAATTTGTATATTAAATATATAAATATTATAAATTTTTTTTAAAGGATCAAGGACCACATATTTACCAAACATGTCCTTCATCAAATTATTTTGATTGTAAAGCAATGGCTATTGGTGCACGTTCTCAAAGTGCTCGTACATATTTAGAAAAACATCTTAATGAACTTCTATCATGTGATCTTGATGAATTGATAAAACATGGCCTTTGTGCATTAAGAGATACATTGCCAAATGAGGTTGATTTATCAGTGAAGGTAATAAATGTAATTTTTTATATCATAATATATTAAATAAATTAATATAAAAAGATAAATATAATAAGAATAATTATTGCATTACAGAATGTGTCTATTGCAATAGTAGGAAAAGGTACAGATTTCAAAATATTTGATGAAGATGAAATTTCTGTTTATTTATCTCAAATTGAAGATGATAAACGTAATAAACCTACTGAACCAGATGTAGAACAAGATTCTAAACCTCCACAACCTCCATCTTCTGATGAAAATCCACAAGACCCACAAGTTACAGTTGCAATGGATACAGATTAAAAATAATGTAATATATTTTATAATATATTTTCTGTATACATTTAAAATGAACATTTGTATTTTATGTTTGTATTTTTCCTACCATTATATTCAATACAATAATAGAGTATCATAGATTATGAAAATTTTGTTAATTTTAATATAATACATTTTATGATAATTACAAGTATTTCTATTAATTTAATGCATAAATTTACAATTTGTATTATAATATATATGAATTTTGTATTATATAATATAAAATTCATATAAATAATTCCAATAATTATAATTAAAAAAAATATATTATTGATTTTCAACCTGTTTATTTCTACGTTTTTTTAATATATTTGTTAAAAAAAATTCTCCAGCTTTATATGATGAACGTACTAATGGACCACTTGCAGTATATAGAAATCCTAATTCATTTCCTACATCTTCCCATTTCTTAAATTTTTCAGGTGTAACATATTCAATAACTTTTAAATGTCTTTTTGTAGGTTGCATATATTGTCCAAGTGTTAAAGCATCTACACCAATCTCTCTTAAATTTTTCATTGTTTGTTCAATTTCTTCATCAGTTTCACCTAATCCTAACATTATTGATGATTTTGTAATTAATTCTGGATTACATTTTTTTGCTATTTTTAGAACCTTCAGTGATTGCCTAAACAATATATAAAATAGTATGTATATAAATTTTAATTAAAAAAATGAATATAGAATATATATAATTCACCTATATTCAGCACGTCTATCTCTAACAAATGGAGTTAAACGTTCAACAGTTTCAATATTATGTGCAAACACATCAAGATTAGAATTGACAATTATTTCAATACAATCTTTATCTCCTCTAAAATCTGGTACCAAACATTCCACTAAAATATTAGTTCTACAAAAATATATAAAATACATACAAGAAATCTTTATTTCATATGTAATTGTAAAGTAATGAATTATAATAATATAAAAATGAAATGATTTTTTATACCTTTTTTTAATTTCGTTGACTGTTTCTGCAATATGATTAGCTCCACCATCATTTAAATCTATTACAATATATATATATATATAATTTTAATGTAACACAAAAATTTTAATATATACACAAATTAAAAATGAAAAAAAATCTAACCATCTCTGTCTACTGATGTTAATACAACATAATCCAAACCCCAATCTGTTATTGCAATTGCTGTATTTATTGGTTCTTCTGGATTTAAGGGTAATGGTGTACGTGATGTTTTTACAGAACAGAAACGACAACCACGGGTACATGTATCGCCCATTAACTATATTAAATTATTTTTCATATATTATATTTTTATAATATAATTAATTAATTTTTTTAGATATCAAAAAATTATAATTTAAATAAAAATATAATGAATATAATTAAATATATACATAATATAAAATAAAATATTTTATATATACATTCACATAATTTGTTAACTCTCAATTTTAATATTAAATATTATTAGAAAGCATATTTTTAATTATTTTGAATAAAAATATAGAATAATGATATTTTGAACTAATAATACAAACCATAATAGTAGCCGTTGCTGTTCCATGTGTACCACCTCCCCAACACTCCCCAATATTAGGACATCGTGCTTCTTCACATACAGTGCTTAATTGTAATTGTCTTAATTGTGATTTTATTCTATTGTAATTTTTACCTATTGGTATTTCTGTTTTAAGCCAAGGTGGTAATCTTAAACGGGATTTATCTCCCTTTTCTAATTTTAATTTTCCATCATATTGTTTATAAGTATTATCAATAAAATGTTCTAAGTCAGGTCCATCTTTCAATTTTTGAGAAAAAATTTTTTTTTTGATGTAATGTAACTGCTTTAATATAAACAAAATTAATATATAATAAAGAATACTAAGTTTTATCTTTAGATATAATTTAACAAATATGTACCGTTGAATGAAAATTACAAATAGTACATATTTTTGTGCTTAACTTATGAAAAGCTTGAAACATGATTATCTAAAAGAATATTCAAATAACCTCTTAAGAATAAAAAAAAAATTCAGCATAAAATATTATCAAATATTATTATACAATATTACAAAAAACAAGCTTTTGTAATTTGTAACTTGTAATTTGTGTATTTGAATTACGATAATTTTCTTTATGATAATTTTAAGATATAAAATATATTAAATATCTCAAAAATTATTTATTTATGACGTACTTATACATAATTAAAAATTTAAGATATAAGATTTTAGCACAGAAACAATATAACTAAATATTCATCTATCAAATTATTATATCTTAATAAACAATTTCATATTTATATTTTTTTTAAGTTTAATTTACATACATTACTTATAAAATTTATAATTTTTGTTTGAGAATATTTGCAAATTTTATTAAAATTATATTTCTTATTTTATTTTTAAAATTAATGACATAATAATAAATAATAATTTAAAGAACTTATTGTACTACTATTATTGTATATATAGAAATGTTTCATATTGCATTTTATAGTAAAATTTAATAAAATTAATATCATTTTTTTCATAAAAACCCGTCCAAATGTATTCGATCATATATAAATTTTGTTAGTTTAGCAACACATATTGACGTAATATCATCCGATCTTTAGAGCTTTTATGATTGGACGCGGTAAAGGTCGGGTGAGCGTTCGTAATTTGTTAGTTATTACGTTTTACATATTAGTGGTTCGTTTTGTTTTAATTTTTGCATTTATTTAATGAAAATAAATATTTGACAAACAATACATTATAATGGCAGATCCTGGAGGATGGTCTACAACACAAGAAAATGATTTTTCTAATTTTCAATCAAATGATAGCTTCAATTTAAATGAAGTAACTGGTATTGATGGTATGTAACATGCAATATTTATCAAATTAAATTGTATTATTTTGTTTTTAATAAACATAATGAAATGATAATTTCTTATTTTTTATGTATTTTTTTGTATATTTCATTTGTTTCATCTTAGATTTCATATAATTTTCTTTTACTTTTTTAATATGTATATATGTATATATGTGTATATATATATATATATATATATATATATATATATATATATATTATATA